AAATGAATGAATGAATGAATGAATGAATGAATGAATGAATGAATGAATGAATGTGTTTTGCAGATTTGCCTGTCTTCTACACGCTTAGTTCAATTCCTGATACTAGGAACGTGCACACATTCTCTTCTGGCCTCTCCCTTAGAAAATTCCATGTTAACAGTCCTAGGTGAATTGTGCTGTCTAAGAAATGGGTCCTCTAGTTTCTTCCTGAATTATGGAAAATGGGGCATTGTATTTGTAAAGCCCTGCAATTCACGATGGAAGTCAAGAGGTCTGTGGGAATGCGAGCGCTGATTTAAGTTGGGTTCTGGGCTGTTTGCAAGACGGAGTGGCTGTTGTTGTTACTCCAGGCTTGGGCTCCTTCCACATGATACCGGGTAGCCTGGATAGGAGCGCATAGCAGGTTTCATGGCATGTGGGACATGATGTGTTAGGTGGAGGATTATGGGTTTGTGAGATGTTTTCAGTCAAGATGTAGGTAAGCTATTTTCAAGAGAGCTGTCTACAGCAAGGGAGGCTGAGTCCCCCTTAACACGTTCATCTTAGTTCTCCAGCCATACAACAAATTACTGGGCAGAAGTCCTTCATACCATAAAATGTGCCATTGGAAGGTACCTAAGGGATCATCTAGGTCAGTATTTCTCAACCTTGTCTGCTTTAAGACGTGTGGACTTCAACTCCCAGAATTCTCCAGCCAGCACCGTTCCCCAATTCTGGGAGTTGAAGCCCACCTGTCTTAAAGCTGCCAACTTTGAAAAACACTGATCTAGTGCAACCCCTGCCCAGGGTAGGAATTCATTATTATAACACCCTCTTAAAAGGGATTATATTTGCTATGCAAGTAGATACTTGGATGTTCTTCTGCATGAAAAAAAAAATCAAACTTTATCTTGATATTTGAAGAGATGAGGGGGTTTTTTGTGTGTGTGTGAGTTTATTTCTTAGGGGAAGCAATCAGAGCAGAACAGGGGGACTGAGTGGAAATGGGATTTTTTTTAGTAATACTTATTAAGAGATTCCAGGTCTTTCCTTTTCTAGGAAAATGTCATGGTGATCAGCCTGCCTTGTAAAAGTAAATTATTTAACGGAAGTTTAATTTATTTAAATGTATACAAATTTAAAACAGCTGTTGGCAAGCTTGGGGATTGAGTTTTAGTATCAGTGCTCATGACTATATAATGTTCATTACAACTAATTAGAAGAGAAAGCTGAGGCTACAGAAATGGGGTTTGAAGGTGGTGGAAAAGGAATCTGTTTTCAGGTGGTATCTGCTCTGGATTCTTCTCGTCTGACCACTTCAGCTGGGCTCCCACATTATGAGGAGCCTCAAACCAACCCCATCTCAGCCTAGGGTGTTTATCTCCTTTCTCCAGCTAAACTGAAGGAAGTAGGAAGGATTCTTAAGGGAATTCTTATTTCAGTATGGTAATTTAAGGAAGGAAGGAAGGAAGGAAGGAAGGAAGGAAGGAAGGAAGGAAGGAAGGAAGGACATTTCCCTTTCTCTTAGCTACGATTATAACTGGGTTGGGGAATTCAATAAAGAGAGGGGAAAATATTTGAAGCACAAATTCTGAAACCCTACCCATTTTCAGACGTGCCCAGCCTTTCTACTACTGGTAGTGCTTTACGCCCTGCATTTCTCACAACTCTGTGAAGCTGGCCATTTTAGGAAAACAAAGGGTAAGTTGCTTAAACTTAGCCAAGCTCATCCCTTAAATAGGGTTTGAGCCCAACACTTTTAGGCCTAAGTCTACTGCCCACTTCCAGCGATCCCAAAACAATGCCAGATCCAGCTAGTTTTAAACGTGACGCCAGGCAGCAATATTTGAAGCCCTCTTGACACGCTTAGTTATTTTGAAATAATAATGCCTGACTTTTCTAATGGCTCTGATCTTTGTATCTCTTTATACGTGTATGTGACCTCTTGTCTGAATTATTGCAATGCGCTCTATGTGGGGCTGCCCTTGAAGAGCATTCGGAAGCTTCAACTGGTACAGAATGCGGTTGCATGGGTAGTAAATGGTGTCGGATATTCAACATGTGTAACACCACTATTGCACAAGCTCCACTGGTTGCCGGTACATTTCCAGGGGGAATTCAAGGTGCTGGTTGTCACCTTTAAAGCCCTTCATGGCTTACGACCAGGTTACCTCCTAAGGGACCATCTTCCCTTTCTACCCATTCAATTCAATCTGGCAGGTTGGGCACGTTGTGGGTCCCGTCAGCCAAGAAATGTTGGCTGACGAGGACCAGGGGACGTGCCTTCTCTGCCATAGCCCCTGCCCTGTGGAACGTTCTCCCTCCAGAGATTTGGATGGCCCCAACCCTGTTGGCCTTTCGTAAGGCCTTGAAGACCTGGTTATGTGCCCGGGCCTGGGATCATGACTGTGTTAAGGGCCCTGTTTCCTGGTTACAGTAACATCTATGGTTATGATTTTCCCGACTTCTATATATATTTATTCCTTGCATTGTGTTTGTATTCGGTTTTTCATTGATTTTATGATTGCTCGCTGCCCAGAGTCACTTGGCTGAGATAGGCGGCCATAGAAATTGAATAAATAAGATAAATAAATAAAAATGTTTAAAAAGCTAATTCCAAGGGAACTAGATAACATTTGGCCAGAGCCAGATTGCCTGGCTGATTATCAGTTTTAAAAGTGTGTTATTTGTGGGAACCTGTAACAGGAAGTTATCTCTCTTCCCCAGTCTTTAAGCAATCTTTACGGTTCTTTGATGGCCCACGGAGGGACAAAAATTATTGGGTGAGTGTTTGTGTAAGGAGCTGATGGGGAAAGCGGAAGGAAACTAGGAAAATTTATGTATTGATTTGATTATTTGCTTATTAACATTCACATGAACAGAAGCTATTGCTTGAGGATAGCCACTTATTTAAATTGGCGTTCCTTGGATTTAAGGCTGGGACACAGATGGTGGAAGACGTTTTGATGTCTGCTGCAAAAACTCCATGGTTGTTAGGAAGTTATTTAAAAAGTAAATAACTGACCGTTTGCTTGAATGAGAGGGGAGGGCAGGAGCGGTTTTATATTGTGATGAGAAGATGGCTGATACAAGGGAGACCTGAGCCATCTAGCTACGTGGTTGGGCTAGAGGGCTTCCTCTACCTCCCCACCTGCCAAAATTTTTCCACTTAATTTTCCCACCAATTTGCTATCGTATTATGTTTATTCGTATTTACTGATATATCAGATTTGTCACTGCCCATCTCATTAAACAGTGACTCTGGGTGGTTTACAGAAAAGGTAAAATCCATTAAAATACAATATAAAAACAGTCTTAAATAAATAATAAATTCCAAAAAATGATGGGATGGGAGAATAACTCAGGGAGGGTCATCAGGGTGCCAGCCATCCCCAGGATCAATTAGAGCTCTTATCTCCCCATGCACACTGCCAGAGCCAGATCTTTAGTCCTTTCCGGAAAGCCAGGAGGGTAGGGGGCCGCCGCGCCTCTGGGGGGGAGAATATTCCAAAGGGGTCTTCTCCTGGGCCCCACCAGCCGACATTCTCTCCACATGCCCTCTCTGCCTGACCGGGTGGGACGGGTAGATGTGATGGGTTTATGTTGCCCTTTAGAGGGGTCATTTCCCCCTCTGCAAGGGCTACCATATCTGGGCTGCAAAAATCTGAATGACCACCAGAGTCAACCAAGGGCTACAGAAAACTCTTTCTGCTGCCCTCCGGTGGTCACCGAGGCTTTTGCAGCCCAGAGAAGGTAATTCTACCCAGTGCAATGATTAATGTGTCTCCATTGATAGAAAATTATAATGACTGTCTACTGGTTTTCTCTGTTTTCAGTCCCATTATTCCCTGTTCTGTCTTCATCCCCTCTGGCTGTGCTTGTTGGGGATTCTATTTCTCTCCCCATCCCATTCTCTTTACCCTCTGCTCCGAGCCAAATTGCTATCATCTGGAGGAGGAATGCAACCATTCTGGCAATAGGAAACCTGCGCCCCAATTTTACAGTTGTGGTAGACTCAAGCTTCCGTTCTCAGTTCAGCGTGGACCCCAGGCAGGGTAACCTCAATATTTCTGCACTGAGGACCATGGATTCTGGCATCTACTCGGTGGAGATCTTCCCCCTGGGGAGTTTTGCCCAGAAGGGCAACATCACTATTATAGTTTATGGTGAGTTGGACCAAGTTTTCATTCCATTGTCACGAACATGCTTTCTTTGGTGCCACTAACATCTCAACAGCCCTATTAAAAAGGAAGCTCCTGATCTTGCCAGCCAACTCTTCTTATTTATTTCTTCTCTCTTTTTAATTTTGCTCTGCCAAATTTTTGGAGCCTACATTTGTTGGTGTTGCAATTCAATCCCCAACAGCTCCAGCTGGCACACCGATGGTCAGAGATTCTAGGAGCTGTAAGTCATCTGTATACTGAAGTCCATATTCTCCCCAGCCCTGTGCTACACCCTAGTTAACAAAACACATTGTTGTGTCCATGTAACATAACACACTATGTCCAAACAAATACACTAAACTGGGGTTTCATATGACGACCCAGGTTCACAAATATGCCAAGATAATTACTGAATTCCCACATTGAGCACAAGTTACCTTATCCCATTTTATCTTAATCTGCTTTCTTGCATGAACCCTCCTCCTATGTTTTGGCCATCATGGTTTGCTGCTTGTCCTTACTGGAGACTTTTTTTGCATGAAGTTATGCAAGAAAACTCTTACCTCCATATATGCAGGTCAGCTCATTAATTTGAGCAGCATTAGCACATCAGAGGCTCTTGCCTTGTCTTTTTGCAAAGCCCTTGTGTGCTAAAGGTGCAGGTGCCATAGATGTCTCATACCTGTGTGTTTCCTTAGAGGAGGTGGGCAACATCTCTGTGATCCCATCATCTGCAGAAGTGATAGAAAGAAACAGTTCAGTGGCCTTCAACTGCACCCCTGTCCGTGGTTTTGTCTCCTGGACCAAGGATGGTCACAGCCTGGATGATAATCCCCGATACTTACATTCATCTGGTTACCTGCAAATTAGAAACCCACTACGGACTGATGCTGGTGTCTACTCTTGTACCATCTCCAACCCTTTTGGGAATGCCACTGGTACCGCCAACCTGACTGTGTATTGTGAGTACACCCTTGCAATATCCATTTTCACGTGCTTTGTTTTGTAGAGCTGTAGAACTGTAAAGTTGAATGGACCATTTAGGCCAATGAATGCAGTCCTTTATGGCTCACCAGCCCCAGATTGCACAAACCCCATGAATGGGAGCCCACCTTCAGTCATAAGCCCCACTGTTGCACACATGTCCTGTTAGAAAGTTTTTCCTAACATTCCGTGGCTTCCGATCTTGCAAAGGATTGGATGGAACGATATTGTTTGCTGCCTGAAGTCGGCATCCCCTTCCTCTGTAGGTTTCAGGAGGAAGGAAGTTCAGCCCAGTTGCGAACAAAAGCAGACATGCCAGGCCCTGCAACAAACCCTTCGTGTATCAGAGGGACTGCCCCAAAGGACAGAAGATACAGCTCCCTTTCTATGGATAAATAGCTTCTCCATCAAATTAATTGGCCCCTTCGTCAATAAGGCCAAAGCCTGGGTGACCAATGCCAGGGAGAGAAAGCAGGGCCCTGCAGATGGGCCAGATAGTTGTATCTAAACAGACATTGCATGAATACAGCATTACCTAGTTATGCTCTTTTGATTTCACCCAGATGGTCCAGAGACCCCAACAATTGCTGTCTCGTCCTCTGAGCGGGATTCAGACGCAGGGAGTTTTGTGCTGGTGAACAGCACTGTCAGTCTCACATGTTTGGCACCCTCCAACCCCCCAGCAAAGATCTACTGGAATGTGGCTGACGATAAGGATCGCTACGTCCCTTCCTCACCTGTTCTGCAGCTCCGCAGAGTGCAGCTGAATCAGGGAGGGCTGTATTCCTGCCTGGCTATCAATCAGCAGACGCGGCTGCAGTTTCGCAACACTCGCCGTATCACCGTTGCCCGTTAGTTGACTTTGCCTTTATCTTCCTTCCCTGTTCTGGG